TGTGTATGCAAATATGTGTATGTGTGTTTATTAATGTGTTTGTGTGTGTGTGTATGTGTATTTGTGTTTAATTATGTGAGTGTATTTGCATGTGTGTCTAATGATATATTTGTGTGTGTGTACTTGCAGCTGAACATCATCTACGGCCTGAGTCACTTCAGCACGTTCCTGCAGAAGTTGGAGAAGAGGGAGAAGATGTTGGGCTCTACAGGGACGTCTGTCAATAGGTGAGGGGGCACGCTCTCGTACATGCACACACACATACGTACATACTCACTTACACACACACACACTCACACATACACACACATACACACATACACACATTCCTGCACACATACATACTTACATATTATACACATATACACACCCACACACATTCACCTACACACACACGTACACACACATTCACACATCACACACACACTCACACACAAACTTTTTTTTCTCGTCTGAATCTGTGGGTGGTTGGAAGGTACTCAGAAAATTAATGTTTTTCTGTATGTGAGTTTCATTTGTGGTAAACAAAAGTATATACATGTACAGAATTGGGAACACATTGGCTTGCAAGTGTTTGGACGATGCCACTAGTAGGTCCTACTTTTTACCCTCTCTTGTTTCTGTCTGTCGTTCTTGCTTTTTCCTTTCATAGAATGACCATTCTCGTGCCAATGAGATTCTCTTTACTTAAACAAACAAACAACAGGCATAGATAGTGGTGTATTCCGTAGACCGCTCTCTTGACTTTGAAATGAATCCCTTGGCTGACTTGCTTCATCCTAAATTTTATCTCTGTCCCTGATAGATGTACAACATTGCTGCATGTTAGTTGCTCGCTGCTATCACTCTGATATTCTGTGTGGGTTGTTGGCGGGTGCTCTGGTGTAGTTTGCTCCTTCTTTCGTATAAAAAATCTATATTGTCTTTATCTCTCCTCCTTCTTTTCTTTGTGTATGTTACTCTTTAGTAACACCTCTAATTTTAAGAGCTCATATGATCTATTTGTGTTGCAAAGGCTGTAAAACTCTTCCTCAAAATAAAATCTTGCTCAAGCTGAAACCGCCCAAAAGTATACTTTTCTATCAATATCTTATCATTGACACCCTGCCTTGGAGGAAGACCTGGGCGTCTGTGGTGTAGCGGGTAGGTACTTCGTTGTCACTCATTGGAGACGCAAGTTCGATTCCCTAGTAGGGAGAAGTTCTTATCGAGTAACCTGGTTTTTCTGTTTGAATGTTGTATCTCTCTCAGCCTAGTTTGGCTCTGATAGGCAGGGTCAGAAGCCCCCTTCTAAACTATCTTAATTGTGTTGATGGAGGCGTAAAAACACTTACATTACTTTTTTAAAAAGAATTTGTGTCACAACGCGGTGGAATCAGGCGCTCGTCAATTTTTGGACATGTGGAGTTATTGGTATCATTTTAAAGCTTATTCGTTTGTCTTGCTTTTGGAGAAAAAATGCTCATATGTCATGAATAGAAGTTGAGATATTTGCTACTGAAGGACATTGGGTCCCTTAGCTTCAGAGGTAAAAAAGTGAGAAAATGGCCGCCAAAGTTTGACCACTTCCAAAGCTTGAGAGTCCTTTGAAAATTCTAGTTTACATTTTTGTGCCTTGAATCAATATTTTTCAGTAAAATCCACACAGAAATGTGATTTTAAATAGACTTTAAAGGTGTTGAGTCAAAAAGCAAATTTCAATAAAAATTGCGAAACGAACAGAAAAATGGTAGTTTCTTCGATTGCATTATTTTGACGAGCGCCTGATTTCACCACAATGCCTCACATTTATTCACCGCCTCTAAGGTAGACCCCAACAACTAGTCATTTCTGGTCACTGTTTTTTTGGTTTATTTTGACCCCTCACCTGGTCACTGTGTAGGAAGAGAAAAGGTGTGAAAAGATTGTTTGCTAGACTTGGAAAAGTCAAGTCTCACTACCAAAGGTTTGTCAATTTGACCCGGTGCCTGTCTGTTGCATTTTCTTCCCAGTTCTTATCTTTTCTCCAAAGTCCCCAACTTTCCCTCCAAAGTTCCCATCCATCCTCCCAAAGTTCCCATCTTTCCTCCCAATGCCTCCCTCCCCCCAGCACTCACACACAGTCACCATCTTTTTTCTCAAAGTTCCCATCTTTCCT